CTCTCTCTCTCTCTCTCTCTCTCTCTCTCTCTCTCTCTCTCTCTCTCTCTCTCTCTCTCTCTCTCCAGATCTTTTATTCTTATCATAAAATTTATTCATCAACTGCACAAATAGAATAATTTGGACAGGAGCTGTGCTTATATAGTTCTATTTCTCCTAAAAGTCATGCAAAACCAATTGTTCCTGCATAACTTACCGTTCAAGTCAGCATCATATGCACCACTATCTTTTATTAAGACAAATATATTCAGTTGGATGTGTTGCAAAGTAAACTTATGGCGTTCTTGGTTTTGTATAGAAAGGTATGTTTCTTTAACATAAATTGCTAAAGTAGCCATGACTCATATACATTCATATATATACATATAATTATATAATTTTTTGATTTTTTTGTTTTCATATGAATCATTCTATGGAAATAGTTATATTAATCAGTAAAAGGAAATTTGACCTTTCTTAAACTTACTAGTTATAGTGCTCTCAACAGAGCTCACGGGCAGAAAAGAATCCATGTAACCAATCTAGATAGTTTGAGCCTTCATCTTCTTGTTGTTCATGTATCATTCAACTTTAATGTTAATTATATGCATCTTGAACTTTTTTAGATTTACTAGACTTTGATCAGCTTTTGTCTTTTATAATTTTGTTCTCCTATTTTGGCATTTGTTGTAATTTACTGAGTTTTATTGTCAACAGGTTGTGGGTGGAAATAAAGGAGGTGTTGTAGCAATCGTGGAGGGCCTTCGTGGTTTTGTTCCATTTTCACAGATATCAGCGGTTTGTCCTTTGTATTTGACTTTAGCATGTTTTAACAATTTTCTGTTTTCTTGGCCTTAAATTTGAGTTAGTTTCATGCTTCTTGCCAACTATTATGTTGAGAGCTGAAACTTAACTTTACCAGCTGATTCAAATATTAATTGTTATGATATAGAGCATCTGTCTTATTTTGTCACCTCACTATCATGCTTATGTTAAAATACTTAGTTTATTTTTTAATTGTACACAACAGTGTCTGTTATCAACTATGCTGTACCATATGTCCATCGATCCATTTTAGCTGCTTCATTTGTCCAAGATTTTCCTTCATGCCTAACTTTGCAAGTTCACAACATTCCTATTATATGGCAGATTACAATTATTTTTTTATTGGATTTGACATGTGAGCTTGAAATGATCTCTCGAATATTTTGTCAATGAATTTTCTCAATGTTCGACCAGAAATCAACAGCAGAAGAACTCATTGATAAGGAACTACCGCTGAAGTTTGTGGAGGTTGACGAGGAACAATCTAGGCTTGTTCTCAGTAATCGCAAGGCCATGGCAGATAGTCAGGCTCAACTTGGAATTGGATCGGTGGTCTTGGGAAGTGTTCAAAGTCTTAAACCGTATGGTGCCTTTGTTGACATTGGTGGAATCAATGGCCTTCTCCATGTTAGCCAGATTAGTCATGATCGTGTCTCTGATATCTCAACAGTCCTACAACCTGGTGACACCCTTAAGGTACTCTGTTAAGTTATTGTATTTCTTTTACTAGTGCAGCCTTCTTCTGAACCTGTCATAACGAAAATTTTCATGTAAAGGTTATGATACTGAGTCATGACCGCGAAAGGGGACGAGTAAGTCTTTCTACCAAAAAGCTGGAACCAACTCCTGGTGACATGATTCGGAATCCTAAGCTTGTATTTGAGAAGGTATACTCTATGCAAAGATATTTATTTGCTTCATGTTATACTATTAAATAGTAATTTAGTCTCTGGTCTGATAAGTTTGTTTTTTAATATCAGGCAGATGAGATGGCTCAGATATTCAGGCAAAGGATAGCCCAAGCCGAGGCGATGGCTCGTGCTGACATGCTAAGGTTCCAGCCTGAGGTACTTGACATCATCTTAAAAACCTAATATGCACTTAAATATTTTTACAGGAGAAATTTTGCGTGTTTACATAGTGTAAATATCACCATGAGAATATACAGTGTCACATAATTTATCATATCAATGTGTGATTTTGATGTGATGGTTGACAACCTTATTATGTATAGAGATTGTTGAAATTGGAATAGTTGGACTGATAGAGAATGTTTCTTCATTTTGGCAGAGTGGCTTGACCCTGAATTCTGAGGGCATTTTGGGGCCCCTCACATCGGACTTGCCTGCCGAGGGCCTGGACTTGAGTGAGATTCCCCCAGCAGACGACTAAATGTTACAATAGCAATGGGATCTCCGAAGCATTTCCGGTTTTAATTTTTTATTGAAGCCTGTCCAAATGCAACATGCTTTTGCGGCGCTTCATACTGTTTGTTATGATGTGCTAATTGTATGTTTTATACAAGATTCCTGAGAACTAAAAAGATTTTTTTTTTTTCCCCTCTTAGTTTTCTCATCGAAGCTTTAAAAAAATTCTGCTTGCTACCTGATGAAATTATGCCATCCTGGTTCTCTTGAATCTGAAAGCTTATGGGAGGTATCAGCAGCAACAAATAAATTTCTGCACTCGTTTCAAACAAATTTCCGGTGGGATATATATGCTGTGATTCCTGCAGTGCAACTAGTTTAACTGCTGAAGCGATTCAAGGATCCACAGACTTATTATTATTTGTAATTTGAGGTTAATGTTATTAGTCGTGAAGCCAAAAGTTGTGGAATAATCTGAGAATGTTGAACTCAGTGTTCTTCTTTTACATGTTATATGGCTATTATTATCTCTTCACGTACATATGTGATCATGGGACTGCTTTATAGAAAGCGTCTCATCTGCCAGACTTGATATATTTATGAGGCTACGAATTAGGGGATATAACAAATTTATCGTGTTCAAGCCATTGTTTTTTGAGTTATTTTTCATTAATTGTCGTAACAAATAAAAAGGCTTCTTTTCTTTAAAATGTTTTACATCAGTTGACTGCAGATGAAACGGAAAATAGTTCTCAAATTAATTACAAGTATACAACTTATCAATTCTTTTAGCCTGTTCTTATTATCAACCACGGTTGATCAAAATTTCTTTTTGTTATAGTGGCTACGAATTGACAAATACATTAGCATCGCATGTGGTTATATTTGTGATATTCTATTGGGAAAATTTCTTTGTCATGTGTATGAACCATTGTTTAACACGTCCAACAAAAACATAATTTCTTTGTCATGCGTATGAACCATTGTATAACATATGTCCAGCAAAGAAAGCATGTAAACTGTCCCATACCTATTAAGGGCAGCTTCAATCAGCCTAACAGATAAGTGCAACAGTCTAGAATTAATAAAGATGATTATGATTTATTTATACTAACAAATATGATTTATTTATACTAACAAATAAAGATCACACAAATACACTCGACACATAAAAAAATAGTTAAATTCAACTTATCAGACTTGTCGGACTAGTTTGAGTTGCTTGACTTTGAATACTAACTTGAACATTGAAAGGACATTGTTAAATTAATCCCTGATTTAGTTTTGTGGGGTTTGAGATGTTCTTGACAAATTTTTTAGAGATTGGCTCAAAATAGAATCAGGTTGGATCTAAGTTGGCCTCCTGCTTAGGCGATCCAAAATCGACTATAACAATTTGATACTAAGAGGAGGGTCAATCGTTATATCTCAAGAGAATCCCATAAGACTATCTCGAACGAACCTGTGGAGTTAAACCCCTTATACTTTCATGCTCCGACCCCATCACCATAAATGCTTTTGATATAAATCTCTTGATTTCGGTGCTCCCAAATCAAGGGCTAATGGGAGTCCTAACTAGGCCAAACTTATTTCTTGTTCTATACCCCCATCCTCTTTTGTCAACTTTTTCAAGAGCTGGCTTTCACCCAACCCTCGCCTACTACAACTATGTTTATCCTTGTGGAAACTTTCCATATTTTACATCAGCAAATGCAAGTTGTGATAGGGATAATTTAAATCATCACTCTGTAGCTACCTCAAATCACCCAACTAGCTCAACAAACTCTGCTTACTTTTGTTCTCCTTATTCTTGCTCCAACTTTGCCATCTACACCCCTCTCGAGTCAAGCGACTGACCTAAGCACTATCTCGTTCTCCTCTCCGCTAGTAATTCAAAGCTAAATCTCATTACTAATATCAAAATTTATGAATGAATATATTGGCTAGTTAATTGACCTTCCAACCAAAGTCAAAGACCATCTACCTAGGATGGACCAACAATTGACGGACATTCGTAGAAAAATTAGTAAAGAAAGCAGTTAGAAATAGATCCTAATTTACAATCTCCTTTCACAAAATATATAAATAAAAAAGTTAATACCTCGAAGCTTTAGATTTCCTATGTTGGATGTTTACTGAGGGAAGGCTAACTCGATTGAGCTACGAGTGGATATGATATTTAACAAATTGGCAACTAAGGGTAGCTACTCCTCTATTAGAAATATGCATGCAAGGGAACTATAGTTAAAAAGGTTTCACCCAAATGGGACCAGTCCATTGTATTATAGGAAGAAGAGGCTAAGCGCTAGCCCCGAAGTACAATGATGGTTAGTAGTATCTTTCATGATCGCAAATACATTAGTTAAAAGGATTCTAATCGATACAAGGAGCTCGACAAATATATTATACTATAATACCTTTTAGAAAATTAATTTATCAACTAAGGATCTCTAATCAATCATCTTTACTCTTATTGGCTTTATAGGAGAGTTGATTACCCTAATGGGGATTGTTGACATCTATGTAACCTTTGGGGCTGACAACTGCACAACGATAATAAAACTAAGTTTCTAATAGTTGATATTCTTTTAACCTATAACACTATTATTGGGCGACCTATTCTCAACTGAATATAAGCAATAGTGTCGACCTATTATACGACACTCAAATTTTTGACCAATTCTAAAGAATCCCCATGATGTTACCTGACATCGGTCACCCTTCCAAAGAGAGGAACATTGTCGATCCAACAAATAGACTCACAAGATCCCTCACTATTAACCCTACATCTTATGATAGGAGAACCTATGAAAAAAATTATTATAAATCCAGAACGATCATATCGCATAGTTAAAGTGGAGTCAGATTTGACCCAAGAAAGGAAGAGGGAGCTTATTAGCTTTTTGTGACTAAACTCAAAGATATTTTTGCGGGCAACTAATAATATGCTTAGAATATATCATAGCATGGTCTAGTATCGACTCAACATAAACTTAGAATATAAGGCGATTTATCAAAAACCTCAAAGGTTTGCTTCCAATCGTCAGGATGCCATAAAGGAGGAAGTTAGAAAACTCTTACAAGCTAGTTTTATCCATGAAGTATATTACCTGAAATAACTCGCAAATGTAGTCATTGTTAGAAAAAGTAATGGGAAATGAAGAATGTATGTAAATTACACCAACCTCGATAAGGCCTACTCAAAAAATAATTTTTTTCTTTCTTAAATTGATCAACTTATCATCTTCACCTCTGGATATAAGCTGTTGACTTTCATGGATGATTTCTCTAGGTACAATTAGATTAAAATGACACTAAAAGATAAGGAACATAGCTTTTATCACTTAGAAAGGCCTGTACTACTATATGATCATGCCCTTTGGATGTAAAAATATATGAGTAATATATCAAAGAATGATAAATAAAATATTCCAACAACAAGTTAGGAGGAACATAGAAGTTTACGTGGATGACATGATGCTAAAGAGTCACACTACCGATACGTATTTAACTGGCCTTGGAGAAATATGTCACCACGAAAAAATTTTGAATGCAGCTAAACCCGATCAAATGTGCATTCAATGCAAGTTTGAAAGAGTTCTTAGGCTTCATGATACACCAATGAGAGATAAATTCAAACCCAAAGAAGGTCCAAGCTATTATCAATATGAACCTCCAAGGTCCACTAAAGAAGTTTAGCGGTTAACAAAATCAAATCATCATGCTTAGCCAATTTTTATCTCGGATAAACGATCGATGTCTACCATTTTTCAAAATCTTAAAGCACCTAAAAGATTTTTAATCGACTGAATAATGTTATGAAGCATTTGATACACTTAAAAGATATATGACAACTCTAGAACTATTTAGCTCTCATCTAGAGGAAGATTTTATACTTATACCTATCCATAACCACGATGGCTATAAGCTTAGTTCTATTTCGAGAAGAGCAATGAATCCAAAGGCATGTATATTACACTAATTATATACTTGATGATGCAGAAACTCGATGTCCCAATTTTGAAAAGCTGACCTATGGGCTGATCCTAACAGTCGAGAAACTTCGTCCCTACTTCCAAACTTATCATATTATCATCATGATGATAAGCTAAGGCATCATATTTTTTTGAAGCTTGAGACCTAAGGCTCCTTAAATGGGTAATTGAGCTCAACGAACTTGATATTTCTTATAAGTTGAGGACCGTTGCAAAGGCCCTCATCGACTTTGTGACAAAAATGACCCTCACCAAAGAGGTGTTTAAGGATACTAAATAGTAGATGATGCATGTAGAAAAGTTAGCTATGTAGACGAATAAAGGCATGGCTCTTGTCTAAAAAAGTCCACAAGGAAAGTCTATGAGCATGCACTCTATTTAAACTTTTATGTTACCAATAATAAAGAAAAATATGAAGTTATTTTATTAAGACTAAAGCTCACTAAAGGTATGGGAATACTGAACCTAAAGTATACAATGATCCAGCTAATTATTAGCTAAATTAATGATTCATATGAGGCTCATGACTCCATTATGATGTTATACCTTGTGGAGGCAAGACTAATAATAGCAGAAAATGTCGTGAGTACTAATCCCAGATAATATACATAATTCAACAATGCTAAGTTTAAAAAATTATATGATTACTTTAGAATTTACCTAAGGTTCAACATAGTATCCCATCCATAAGCTAACTATTTAGACAAAATAATTAATCAAGCCATGTTATATGGCCTAAGAAAAAGAGTCTCAAGTGCTAAGGGAGCATGGGTGGATGAACTCTCAAGCGTATTATAAGGGTATTGGACTATATCAAAGGTTTCCACTTGAGAATTATCTTTTTCCATAGTATATAGAACTAAAGTAGTACTCTCAGTTAAGATGACATTGTCAATTATCTAGACTCGGTACTTTGTCGAGGAAGAAATAGAGTTTAGGCTTAGAGCAAATCTAAACATCATCGATAAAGTTAGAGCCCAAGCACACATTAGAAACTTGGGCACATAAAAGGGTGGTAATTAAAATCTTAAATATCAAAATTCGTCCTCGTCGATGAAAGAATGGATCTTAGTTTTAAGAAAAACCAAAGTCAGTGACCCAATTTAAGCTGGAAACAAGCTAATGGCGACTTAGGAAGGATTGTATTGGAATGTAGAGAAAGTCTGACTAGGAACTCACTGACTTTATATACTTGATAAGTTGG